TCCATAAGTGCTCAGATCCCATCCTCAGTAAATCCCTCAGCATATGGCGACTGATAACATGTTCTGTGTTGGTTTATTCTTCTTGTTTAGCTACCAGTATAGTGTTCTTATCTGGCAATACCATTATGGACCTGAAGTTCCTGTCTTCTAATGTTGATTCAAAGTCACATCTTGAATCATCTGCTCATCCTGCCACATTCAGAGCCTTGAGAACACCGACCACATCCAATGCTTGTTCTGTACCTACCATGGCTCTACCAGCAATCCAATCCGTTCATTCCTTCCCTCTTCCTCCAGAGTGCATTGGCACAAAAATGAAACTCATTCCAGTCAGACAAGATTTCTCCAGAAACTAACTAACTGCCTTTGAACCCATCCATTTCTATCTTCTTATGCATGCTAATGGGGAATAATTTTAGAAGTAATGCTCATGGAACCACTTACAAAGCATGCATGGGATCAATATATATACTACAGCCACTGACTACCTACTCAAAAGTACTCTGAAGAAACCAACAAATGACTACTATACATTATGACACTGTTTGCCTTCTTGCTGTAACCAACAGGCTGTACTCTATGACAAGACTGTGTTCTGATATTATCTATAAACTTAACACGGTGTATTTACTGTGTGTTGTCAGCACGTTTCCATCTCTCCAGACAACAGTGTTATACAGAGGATGAGAAAGTCAGCCACTAGTTACAATAAAGCTACTCCTAACAGAGCACAAAGCCTGGACTGTATTGTAAAAACTACAGGTTGCACATTCAGCATGATTCCTCCCTTGGCCAGCCTTGTTTACTCAAAAAGAAAAAAGTAACACTAACAGGTGCGGAATACAGCATGATGCAGAATCTGCCAGATAAGAGCAGTGCTCTGTCTGCCTGCCTGTCTAAGCTTCCCTTCTAGACCAGCTGCTAGGCTAGGCAAAGGGCCTGGTCTTTCCTGACAGAACACCAAGGTTTCAGGCAGCAGATTTTATACACCAGGGCTACAAAACTCAGTTTACTCAAGGACCAAAATGTTGGGAAACTGGGATCGTCACCAGGCAGTGGCCGGAGTGAAGAAGAGATGGGAGAAGTACATAAATCTTCAACAGGTTAAAAAACATAGAAAAGGACTAAAGTTCTTACAATTTCTAAGTGTCTTGTTAAAGTTGAGAGGATCCAAGTCATTGCAGTTGTATCTCACCCGGTTAGGTCTCTCTCCACAAAATGACCAGCAACCTGCCAAGAGTGTCACATGAAGCAGGAATTCTGCAGCTTCAGCATCAACTCCCAGGCATCTTTATAAATTCAACGAATGATATTTTGTGAAACAAACCCATGACCTTCAAAGTGTGAGGCCAACAGCTAAGCCACAGAGACCCTCCTGCATCTTGACGTATTTATACTAACGTTAAATCACTTTTCAATGATCTTTCATATAGTCTAATATTCCTGATAGAAATGATTTAGGTGGTGAAAGTGACAGAATACCTAAATATACTGACGAAGTCCTTGAAGTGATAACCCATGGGACATCTGCCTGCCCTTGGTCTGTGTTTTGTGTTTAAGTAGGTGTTTGTCTTCCTCTGCCTTTCAACTCCCAGTGGAGAACAGGCCCTTAAACAAACCCATGTCAAAATTGTTGCCTGGTCAAGAAAGGTGAGAGAGGCTGTTTGTAGACCAGGGCTTTACAACTAAGTTCACTCAAGTGCCACAACTGTGAAAATGGGCATTGTCACGGGACAGAGATCTAAGCCCCAGCACAGATCATTGTAATGATCCGTGGGGTGGTAGTTAAATAGCCCTGCTGTGGTCAAAAGACAATAGGATGCATTATTCTGGTTACATTCCAAATTATAGAGGTGAAGAGCTCATAGACTATAAATGTATCTCTAGACTTCGCAGACCTGGTTCATTTTTAGGGCAGGGAACTACATTTAAAAGACAGAAAACTCAAAGACTGTGTGTGTGTGTGTGTGTGTGTGTGTTAGAAATCCTTCAGTGGCTGGAAATCATAAACTGTCACAAATCATAAACTGCTCTGGAAAAATGTCCAAATCAAGGAACCCACCCATAACTAATTTACATAAAAAAGGTGCGAGTCCAGCACACAGACATCTGGATCCTTAGATTATTTATGGGACTCCCAGAGTTGTACTGAATCATTCTGGTCAGTGCATCCATGGTTCTGGTGTCACAGCTTCGAACATCATCGTCAGTTTCTTGTAAATCTGCATGCCGTCTGTAGGTTTTGTATGCAAGATAGATTGGAATTGTACTCAGAAGTCTTGCTTTTTATTTTATTTTTCTCTTGATGTATGTTTCAGCAGACAGTTTGTAAGCATTTTTAAACTGTTCACATTCAGCATAAGTTTTGCACTGTCTAAAACTTCTAAGAGGCTCAAAGCAGCAGTTTTCTCCCTTTCAAGTTGTCCCTGTTTTAGCATTTAGAAGAAAGAAAAACAGTGCTAAAATAGGAAAAGCTCAACATCTCCCCTTATTTTGCCTAGTGTATTTTGTCAGGAATCATTGCAGGTATAGTGAATACTGCACTCACCCACTTTTGTCATGGCCCTAAGTGCCAACCTCCTCGAGCCTAGCAACAACCCAGCCTCATCAAACGGGTACCTGAAAATTATCCCCAGGTATAGGCGAGATAAATGCCGACATCCTGACCACACTGAGTGCTGTTTGACTGACAAGACATGGCGACAGCACCGAATATTCCCAAAGTGCCAACACTTGAAAAATTAGCTCTGATTTTAGATGAAAGGAAAGCTGATCACCACCATTTGCAACTTGTGAACTTAGATGACTTTTACATAGTACAGGAACAATACATCAGACAATCACAAGACAAACTGTCTTGCTGGGACTGCAAAAATGATCTGCCACTGACAACAAAATGAACTGCTAGCAAGCAATTGGAATGTCTGACACTGATATTTATATACAACAAATCTACTGTCTTTGCCAGGCAGCAGCATGAGACCCCTAAACTCATTCACTTACAGACTCTGAGGCAAACCAGTCTAGTGAAGCATTCTGATTCAAAGCAAAGCAACAAACTGAGTGAAAGTAACACATGTACATAACCATGACATAAACCTTCTTAAAGGATACGGGTTGCAGGATAAAAGTCTTCGCTGCCTGTTTTTGTTCATTTTTAACTTTGGCTGTGTTTCCAGTTTCTGTTGTTTTAGTAACTCAAAGGCAAGGAAAAGCAAACCCCTAATGAAATATTTTTCAAAATCACAAGCACCGGAACTACAAACATGTTTGATGATGATATAAAACAAACTGCAAGTCCCACGTGCAGCAAGCATTTAGTTATTAAGTAAAGGACTTTTTTAATCAATCGCCACTCGCTGGCGGATGTGGTCAACATCACCCCGGCTACCTTTGCTTCCCATGACTTGACCTGGTACCCATTTAAAACTGGGAGCCAAGTCATTTTTGATAAATGTCTAGCTTCAACAGGACCTGAATCTGCGACTACCACCAGGAATAGTTAAGTACAAAAGTTACAGCAAGATCCGGGGTAAGAATATTAAAAACTAATGACTTTCCCCTGCTATGATATCAAGGTATAAGTTAGGCCACCAGTTTTTAACTAAATCAAAAATATATCTTAACTGGCAGCCACATTCAGGGGTCTTAAATGTAGACCCACGACGGTACATTGGCATTATTAGCAGAAAATCTGTATGAATTAATGTTTCTTCTAGATGATGTCATCATTTTTAAAGCTAGCCCTGCTTGAATACAATGGTTTAGTTCCACACCTGAGATCAAACACTGTACATCGATACACCTAAGAACAACTGCAGTAACTGACCAAAAAGCCTCTTTACAAAAAAAACACAAAAAAAAAACCCCAAATGTGCATCAATATCTCAATGTCATATTGTCGTCAATTCTTTAGTTAATGAACTAGATGCTTCTATTGTCTTTCTGACATGTTTCTTGCAAAACTGTTTTCATATAAGAGTGTTAGCTCTTTGTTTTTGTCCATTTTCAGAAAAGTTTCAGTTCACATTACGTTTAAACAGGACAAATAAACAACTAAGTTTAAAAATGTATTCCTTGGACATAATGTTACCCTCGTGACCCATATAGAAAAAAAAGGTATTCTATCAAATGAATTTAAAATGTATCAAATATACTTTCTATAATATGACATTTAATGAGCAATGCGGTGTATCAACTTTATCATCATATTTATATTCATTATTGAGTACTTCACATTATTTGTTCTTCACGCTCAAATCTGTTGCAGTATTTTACAAAACATTTACACAGAGAATCCTCTTTCACATCTCTACACTGCTGTTTCCACTCCCTTAATAGACAAGTCAGTGTTTTTGCACATCTAAATGTTGCATCCTGATCTCTGTTATCATAAATATAACAGAAATCAAGAATACGTATTACAAGGAAACAATTGAATCATAACTAAATGAAAATGTACATTCACACATTCAACAATCAAAACAATAAAATTTTAACCAATGGTTCCTGTAATAGCAGATAAAGTCACAGGTGGTGGGAAGATTTGAGTCATTCCTGTAATAGCAGATAAAGTCACAGGTGGTGGGAAGATTTGAGTCATTCCTGTAATAGCAGATAAAGTCACAGGTGGTGGGAAGATTGAGTCATTCCTGTAATAGCAGATAAAGTCACAGGTGGTGGGAAGATTGAGTCATTCCTGTAATAGCAGATAAAGTCACAGGTGGTGGGAAGATTGAGTCATTCCTGTAACACGTTATAAATGATGCAGTGGCGGTAATTACTTCAGTTTTTGTATCTGAAATCTCGTCAATAATAAATTCAGCGAGATGCAAGCAAAGTTAAATTTCAAATGTGTGGACCTGCCAAAGAAAACAGTCTTGGAACCAATGATAAAAAAAAAAAATAAAACATAAATTGCACTCAAAATAAACACATCATTCAAGAACAGCTCACGCAGATTTGTGCTCAAACTGTACATGTTTGACTGGTTTCGTCTGCTACACAGAGAGGTGCCGAGAAAGATGGTGTCTACCATTGAGGCTGCTTTGAGTCCGAACACACAAGCTGTCTGGCAGACGTATCTCTCGTCTGACGTAGAACAAGATGTATGCCTTGCAACGCATGACAGTCTCAGCATCACATGCTGTGACTGTACTATCATTGAAGTGATACCACTGCCCTGCAATTGTGAAGCATCACAAGTTATGACCAAAAAAATGCACAACTGTGGCTAGATTAGCATTAGATAAAACAAATGATTTCAAACAGGAAAACAACCTACAAGAATAATTTCTAATATATAGCCCTCTTCTTTCGCTTCCCTCCTAGCCTTCTCTATCTTCATCCATCTATTCATTCTGAAGCTTCTTTCCTTCTAGCTATCTCTATCTTTATCCCTCCATTCATTTTGAAGTTTCCTTCTCTTTCCTTGAAAGTTGTAGGTTCGTTTCACAGGGAAGAGAAGAGAAATTCACAGTAAATAGGACAAGCAAAGATAGAGAAGGCAAGCAGGGAAGCAAATGAAGAGCTCTTTAGAAGTTCACAAGTGCAGTTTTCAAAGAGGTCCCTAGGGACTGTTGCTAGAGCTACAGAGTTTGTGCAACATTCTCGGCAGGCAGCTCGCTGTTCTGTAGGAAGAAGCCGAACTATACTGGACAAGACAGTGCAAAGAAGTAGATTCTCTCGACTTTAACTGTAGTTTTATTTGACTGCTGGCTAATCTTTCTCTCTAACTTACTTTTCTAAACATAAACACGACACATCTGTCTTGTAACGTTTCCTATCAGTCTTAAACTATAAATATCAATTTTATGTGATATTTTTTTAAATCAAGATTTATAATGCAATTAAGGAAAGTATACCCTAATGTACAAGTTTTTTTTAGCATTCATTTTGTATTTGTATTTCTGTTTTTCTGGACTTCTTGTAAAGCAACTAGTTTCTATATATAGTTGCTTTCATTGCATTTCACAACCCTCTGCACTCAATTCTCCATCTTTCAGTCATCAAAGTACGTCACAATCACAACTGCATTTTACTACAGGAATGTGTGAATCATAAGGTCCAATAGAGTTGATTTCTTCTCCCTCTTCTTCCCTTTCTCTTTTACCACTTCAGGTGTAGAGGGAGATAAAAGGTTTTGCTTCTTACTCTTGTGGCCATCATAACCACAGACATATTGTGCTGCTGTAGAGTTTCTGACGTTATCTTACCATCTGGTTCTTGGTCTACCTTTTGCTCTATGTCCTCTTTTGGTGTATGCCTTGCATGGTATTGCGTCGCAAGACATTCTTTCTAAGTGGGCAAACCAGCACTGATTTACTAGAAGTAATTATGCAACATTAAATCGATCAAGGCTGACAACAGGCATAAAGACTCACACATACAAATGTGGATAATTAAATAATAAACTGGAAACAACAAACATATAAGGATAATAAAATAACTGACAACTGACCTTCATGAGTAGCATAAGCTGTGTAGTGTCCAGATCCTGCCCTGTTAAAAAAAAAAACGTTGCATAAATAATCATCTTTGTAATAAATTACCAGCCATATGATGGTCTTATTTTTCTGAACAGTCCTAAAGTGACAGATCATCTTCAGTATATTTTAAACATTTAGTCTGTGTTGGTATTTTTAAAAAAAAATTCTTTAATGGTTTTTGTTTTTGCACACTGCTCTCTTTGAGCCTCTCCCTACACTACAACTGGGAAAACCTTATAAATTATAAAACATGTAAAATAGAAGCAAAGAAGTATGCAGAATAAGCACTAGTATATTTAATGTTAAATGCATAGCTAATGTACTGCGAATTCCGGAGGCTTTCCATATGCGTGCGACTCTAAAGCAATGGCTTCTTGAGTTCAGAGTGAGGTCTCATTGCCCATTTCCCCCATGCGCAAACAATGGACAATCCATACAGTGAAAGAGAAATTCACAAGGAACGACTGAATGCACGTATGAATGCAAGTACACATAGTTATGTGAGCAAGTGTCATGGTAGCCACTCTCAACAACAATTCACTTTCACCATCTCACCCGGGTGTTTTGAATTTTGAACAGTGCCCCCCTCCCCCTCCAAATCAAGGTATCTGGGCTTTCCTCCCTCATCTTATTAGCTGTTCACAACCCTGAAGTCCTAATGTTTTACAGAAGAATCCTTAGAATTCCTTCGACAGCTAAAAAGAACAACCCAAATGTCTTCAAAGAGGTGAGGGCTCAAAGACAATTTATTACAAACATCAGAAAGAGACAATCATCCTTTTCTGGCCATATTATGAGAAGAAGGAAACTGGAACATGTTGTGACCACTGGAAAGATCTGTGGAAAGCAAGACACAGGAAGTCAAAGTGAAAAGATTTTTGACAACCTTTTGACATGGCATGGAGGGGTGTCAAAAAACTTACACACACAGTTGCAGATCGTGGAGAGGCATATCGCCCAAGCCAGTCAGCAAGGCACTTGATGATGATAAAGTCCTAGCTTGCTGTTCCTGGATGTTTCCTATTTTCAAGCTCACAATAAGCGCCTGGTAAAACTGAGTCCATAACAACAACTTGAAACACACACAGCAATCCAAAACTCAAATGCACCGTAATTGCTCTGTAATCTGATGGCCTGGAGAGAATGAGGCCCCTGGGTGTAATCAGAGGGTCTGGCCGGCTCACTACACTCACAGGAAAGGCAAGACAGACATGTAACCAGATTGTGACCAGTATCATCAGTATTGGAACTCTGCGCTGGCTGCTGAAAGTGGGGACGGAGCACATATGGGAATGCCCTGAGTGCTGTGATGTTAATTCTTGACCTGACTCAACTGTAATCTGATGCTTCCTCAACCTACGCCCTCACCCTCTCAAAATAATAACAAATAAAAATACAGCTAAACAAAGACAATTAATTACCCAGATCCATGGTGGACTATAACAGCAGCGAGATCATAAACATTACTTCCTGAAAAGTTTCCTCTGGTTTCATGCTGTGGAAGACAAACATTCAATGTGTGACCAAGGCAATTCACACCATAATTGCCAACACCCATGTGATAGCATGCCAGTCAGACGCCAACAGTTAACATGTAATAACATGGGATGAGAAGTAACAGCCTCCAGAACTTGGTGACCACTGGCAAGACTGATGGGGAAAAGGGAAGGCAAACAGACAAAAACTGGATGGTTTATCCACGGAGAAGGGGGTAGACAAGAGCACTGACCTGATCTGTGATTGTTATGATCGTGTGAGAAGGGGAAATATGTCAGACCAAGATGAATAACTTTACTACAACCAATTGTTGCAAAATTATGTCCACATAAAATATGCAGAAAATGACCTGTCTTACTAAAATATCCCGATGTGGCTTCCAGGGTTCCACTTGGGAGGGGACAAACTGACCTACTGCTTCCGTTACAGGCATGTCATAAAAGTCGACTTATTATGTGTTAACCTTAAAGTTACTGCCTAAGAGGCGAGCAACCAACAGTCTGCATTCAAATAAGTCAGAGCTATAAAACGATTTGCATGCAAAACTCAAGCTCTAGAACAAGACCAAGTCTAGAATGGATGAAAAACAAGAACTTTTCCGCTGGAGTTTACTGCTGATGAACGCAAAGAAGAAGATTATAAAAATAACAGGCTTGCTAACTGCACATTTACGTTGATTCCTGGTGGCAGAGTGGCTAGTACTGGTGCACTGGTCCAGGTTAAATCCCAAGAAGTGACAAAATTGTTTCTGACAAGTACAGCTCTAGCAGGGACTCAGCCCAAAAAGTGGTAACAGATATTGTCCACAAAAAATGTCAGGGAACAGGGAATGGAACTGGCCACCCCATCTCATATGTTGTGCCTCAAAATGTGTGAAGGCCTTATACTTTCCACACCATCAGCATTATCTCTTCTGTCTTTACCATGACCTTTTCAGTGCCCTTGTTTTCTAAGCTAGCATCATGTCTTGAACACTTCTCAGAACATCACTGATAGTCACTGTCTCCTTCTTCATTAGTTCACTCTTAAGAGGATAGTTTCCTTGAGTGGCTTCTGGGGCCCATTTTATAGTGCAAAAGTAAAGACCTACTGCCTCCCTACAAATCATATTGTAAAAGGCGATTACTTAGGGATGTTTCCTTTGAAGCTGAAGTGCCTCTGCCTGAGAGGTGAGAAACCAACCGTCTGCATACAAATAAGGCCTGTAAAACAGAGGCACATCAGAACTCAAGTTCTGGAACAAGATCAAAGTCCAGACCTGGATGAACCACCAGAACTTTTCACCAGAGTTTACAGCCACTGAACATGAAGGAGAAGAAAGGGGTGGCTGGCATGTTCTGATGTGACTTACATATCTGTGTCTCTCAGCTAAACAATAGATTGGGGGGGGGGAGGGGGGGGGGCATTACTGATAATCCCTGTCTGAGGACAGAAATATCTACCAGTTATGTGCATGTGACAGGAGCATTGGCTAGCCCCTTGCCTGCAGGTTTATGATTATAAGTTCATATCCCAACATAAGCAGATTTTTAAAACTGATCTGTACAACCAAGTCAATCCAGCCTCAAAATTGGTACTAGGAAATGTTCTTGGAAATCTGGTGGCCAAGGTGATACTGCTTTCATCATTAATTGAGTGTCCTCCGTTTTACAGTAACATAGAGCTAGCACTACAAGTCTAATACGCCATTGGGCGTGGAAGTCCCGCATGTTTACTCTCTAACTTCTGTATGTACCTGGAGAGGACTCTTACATAATCTGATAATTTCATATTTAACTCTTTGAGTCCTAAGGAACGCATCATAGGTTCCTACCTATGGCCCAATGAAGCCCAATGAACACATGATGCGCCAATTTTATTACTTTATTTACTACTCCCTGGGCCTGTGATGCTAAACCCCCTGGGACTCAAAGAGTTAAGGATAAATATGTTTCTGCCATTTCAGACATTCTGTAAGTATGAAACCAGAATTACATTATAATCCAAACCTCATCCACACAACTTTACATAAGTAGAATCCTATAGTTACATAACAGTGTAACAATAAATGTAGACGCTGGTTTTAGTTAAGACACACCTTGAGAAAAATATAACTAGAATGTCTTTGCACTCACTCTTTGAACTCACAGGGCACAGACCCCAAAAAAAACACACAAGAGAATGGACCTCAAGAGTGAAGTTAAAAAGACAGGGAAGAGATGAGGTGAGCTGCATGTAACAGCAAAAAGACACGATGACTTGGCATTCATTGGTTGAGGGCCTATGCTCCACTGGGTGGATAAAATGCAGAATAATAATAATAATGTATGTGAGGAACCCCCCATCAAGTGCTTAGAATTCTGGGTTCTCATGAGGAAAACCTAGGTTTAACCACTGGTAAGGAATACATCTATTTTGTTTGCTAGGGGCCAAAATAAAAATCCTAACCTGCACAACCGCTGGTGATTGTCCTTGTCATGTGGCCCTAAATCCTCCTGCTCCTGACTGACCAATGTTCAACCCCACTGGACCGCAGAATTAGTGGATAAAAACCTAGTGACACAAAGTGCCACTGTTCGGATGAACATCGCCCAGGCACATTGCCTAGAAACACTGTAGGCTATATTTAGGGACCTCCCCATGGGGAAAACAAGAATAGACCCACCGCCTACACAAAAGCATGTAGTAAGAGTCAACTAATTGGGAGCTTCTTTAAAGTAGGAGCAGCAAGGAACAGCCAACTACACACAAATAAGCTAGTAAAAGTGAATGTACACGCAAAACTCTGGCCCTGCCACAAAGCCAAAAGTCCAAATGGACAAACATCAAGGACATTCCACTGGAAAAAATGACATGCATGGTCGGACTCTTTAAACAAAAAAAGATTTGCATCCCACACTGAGATGGAAGCTGACAGGCTGGTGACCCACTCCCTCCTCCCAGCACAAAGTGGTTATAACAGGAAGTACAGACAGTAGTGAATTTTGTAATATTCATTGACTAATAAACAGTCATCATCATCATCAGGTGCCTTGCCTTGCATAACGTAAATTGTTTATATTTTGCCCACCAACCACAATTCTGGGCATGCCAATTAAAGATCTCATTACATATTCACTGTATATTGAAAACAAATCAGGTGACAGTACACATCCTTGTCGTACGCCCCTCTTTATGCTTTGAAATGTACCTAAACAGTTGTTAATTCTTATAGCTGCTGTTTGCTGCCAATACATATTCTTTATTATTTGTAGATCTTTCCCATTAGTGTTTAATTTTTATAACAGTTTGACTGACTTTCTACTCCACCAGGACATCACACAAGCGATAAACACCTGATGACACAAGGTGCCACCATGTGGATGAGGATCGCCGTGGAGAGGTCCCAGAAACCGCGTTCAGACATTTGGCCATATTTATGGCCTGCCTATATTGCGGCCCCCAGCAAAAGCCAGGGTGGAGCTTCAAATAAAAAATTTCATCCTGAAGAGGACAATAGAGGTTATAACAGTTTGATTACCTCTTCATGTTTCACACAGTCAAATGCTTTTAATAAACAGTACTTACCAAATTATTAAGTACATAAGTATTCATATCCAAGCCTTTAACTGGGAACTCAACAAAAGTCTCCACCTTCAATCGGCAAAACATACTCCACCGAAACCTCTTTAAATGGAGGCAAAGCACCTGTCATTTGTAAAACAAGATAAGGGAGACAACTTTTATTTTCATTTGAAAATACAAAGGAGATGACAGTTACCTCCTTTTCCAAATAAAACAAGGGAGACAACAGTTACTTCCATTTAAAAAAAAAATAAAAGGGAGCAGCTATCTCTTTGTGCTTACATGCTATGATCATTAACACATCTTGATTTCTCTTCTTCCAGTTACCCCATCAAGGTGTTACGAGGGTTGTTACAGTTGTGAATCTGCGAGTCATAGGTTAAGGGGGAGAATGTGAAATGCAAAACAATGAAACTTCACAGTATAGAAAAAAGGGCATCTAGCCTATTAGAAGACGGACTCATATTGCTGGTTACATTCCTTTACAATAAAGGTCGCAAATATAGACATCAGCCATCAGAAGCTGAAAAATCTGAACGTGATCGAATTGTCATTTTTGTTCTAGAAGAAGCAAGCAAATTGCTATATTAACTCCACAATGCAATTCTCGCACTATTGTCAACATGGGAAAATTGTTTTAAGCCACCCACTGCTGGGAACAAACCCTAGTACTTGAGGATCATGAAATTGTTAAAACAGCTTTCTTTAACCTCTAAGATACGGAGCAGCATAGAAAAAAATAAAACTAGGCTAACAATAACTAACACCTATATGACTGACACGTACAGCACATAAATTTAAAACAATTTTAACAAGTAATTATTTCTTCTGAACTGTACAGCAGTAAATGCAATAATATGAACCCTAAGCATACACAAAATATGGACCAACACATTATATCACATATATATACATATACACTGTTCTTTGGCCACATAATGAGAAGAGAGACATTAGAAAACATTGTGACAACTGGAAAGATCAGTGGAAAGAGGGGCAGAGGCAGACCAAGAGAGATGATGCTGAATGGGCTGAAACGATGGCATGGAGGGATATCATCAAGAGAGCTGTTCCAGGCCACCAGGGATCTTGATCTGTGGAGACCCATGAGCGCCTACACCAGTTGGCAGGGCACATAATGATGATATACATAAATACAAGCAATCACATGTTTATGCATGCATCCACCCATAAAGAAGACAATGAGCCAGTGAAGTTCAAACAGAAGACAGCAAAGCTACATGGGTCATACTTACATTTGGTAATCGTCTAATCCAGAATTTTTTGGTCGAGCGTTGCCTTTGTTTGCAGTTGTTGCACATATACAGCTCAGAGTCTTCCAGCTCCTCTAGCTCTGTAAAACTTGCCAAACAATCTGCAACAACAACAGTAAAGTCATTCATCTAAACGGACAGCAGACATCTACCGGTACATAAGGTTAGTGTTCAATTCCTCCATGAGGTATTCCACGGGACTCGATATAGCATATTGTGGAAATGTCTGAGCAAATGAAGGGAACATTTAACTTCTTCCAAGGACACTAGTTCAACTGTTGTAATTTAAGTTTAGATGATGGATCAATATCACGGCACAAGGGTAGTAACCCATAAGGGCTCCTTTCTACTTCTGACTTAAGCTCGAGTCCAAAGAATCTCAGTTCTGTGCATGAATTCCATTGCACCCCTGAGGATCCTGAAATACTTTGGGTAAATTTTTTAAACTCCAAAGTTTGCCCGGGCAGCGCCGTTAGGCTCCTCTGTTTTCCAACTGTCAACAATACACATGGGTATCCGATCTTACTACCCACAGGAAATTACTAGAAGTCCACATGAAAAAATTCAATCCTTTATTGGGGCTTGAACCAGGGACCTCCAGCACTTGAAGCGGATGCTATGCCTCGAGACCACGCAGCCCCCATGTGTTGTTTTTAACAATGAAGATGCAACATCAGAGTCTACTGTCTGACAACTGAGGCTGCAAACCCAAGGAAAGGCCAATATTTCTAGGGCATCAATTCAACTGACCTAGAAACAGATTGGGTTCCAGGCGTGGCTAACATCGCAAATATTGCCACACTTCTGAAAAATGTGATGTTCCTCCCAGCATCCGTCTTACTTACCCACCTGGTTTCTAGGCATGGAGAAGTGAAGTCAAGCTCTTCAACAGTCCTCGTGGAGTAGGCACTTTGGAATAGGCTGGGTAAACCAAATCAGACACCAGTCTAAACTTACCAGACTATTTCTAGAACTTGAAATCTCACTCAAGAAAATGAACTAGAGACAGTAAAAACATGGACTCTCTTGATTGTAGTAGCTCAAAAAATGGAATTAGTTATTAATTAAAATAAGACCGAATACATACATGGTAACAACAAGACTGGGACAGGGTAACTGTTTTTTTAACGTTTACCGTGTGTAAATTCTGGCGGAAAGTTCTGGTTGCTCATCCACTTCTCAACTCTAGTCTTGCTCCAGAACCTGAGTCTGGTGTGCGTATCCACTTTACAGGTCCAACTTACTTAAATGCAGACTGTTGGTTCCTCGTCTCTCAGGCTGATGCACTTCAACTTCTAAGGAAACATCCCTAATTAGTCGACTCTTACTACATGAGTTGAGTTATGAGTTGGATTATCTTCACAGCACTCCGGACACATCCTACATGTGCTCAGATTCCCCTCTCAACATATTCATCAGTATCGTGCGGTTAACAGTGACAGAATAATGTGCACTGCTTCATTTTGTACCTTCTCAGGTCTGACAGTGAGAACGGCTAGAGCATATTCGATGGGAGAAAAGTACAAGTCCCTGGAACAGAAGTAGAAGAGTCTCTGCTTAGTATTAGTGGCAGCCAGGACCCTCTTACTACATGCAATGGGCCTAGTCTTGTCTCATCCCGTCATAATGGAGCCCCAGAAATCCACACACGGACTAGTTATAAGTAATGATTTACATCCATTTTCGGTATAGCTAAAATGTTAAAGCAGTATAGGTTAACTCTGTGGGTACCAAGGAATGCAATTGATTTGTGTCTATTTTAACTGTCCTCTGGTGATGAAAGAGTTAAGTATACAAGACCAGATCACACAAGTCTGACTGAAGTAATTACCTAATAATGTGCATACTGGCTCCCCATCCTTTGGCTTTGTTATTCTGCTTGAAAACTGAGCTGGTATATCCAATGAGAGATCTGGAGAATTACGTTAAAAAAATATATTTTTGTGTGAATTATAATGTAAATCCTTTAAACTACACTAAGATATGAATAAGAGCTGATGCCCCCTATAAGTAGGAAGCATCCAGTAGAACAGTCCCACATTCCTGTTGGCAAGTTCTTTTTTATCCCTTCTTCCTCAAGTGCCCCCATTCCAGCAGTTTTCTTTTTCTTCTTTCCTGGCGGTAGACAGCACTAACGCCTTATAATGCATTATTTTTTTTTCAGTGCAACTAACAGACACCATGTGTTGAGCCCCAGCACATTTGTAGACACTCTATATAGCGAATACCGGAACCTTTCTTCTAGAAAACAAAAAGCCCTATTCCTATCACAGAGCTCAAGATGATCTGAGATAATGTCCATATGGCTTAACTCTAGGTTGCTGTGCTATACTGTCTGAAGCAGCTTAATGAAAGAGACACCAAACAAAATTTAAAAAATTGTGCCAGGGCTTCTACATCCTAGGGCTTCCTAGGTAAAAACTATATCATTTCAAATTGTCCATAGCAGTCACTATCTTATAAAACAGTTACAATGGAATATGAACACAACAGGTATTCAGCCATCTGACTACAGTACACAAGAAGAAGATCCAGGCAATGAGATGCTCATGTCACTAACAGAGACAGAAAGAAAATAAAAATCTTGAGAACATGCATTTTTCCTGTGGCAATTTATAGTTGGAGCCCTGGACTCTCACTCAATAAGTGAAGAAAAAGATCTAATCTAATCTTTCTGGCTTCACAACAACAGTAAAACAACCAGTTGTAATAAAGTATGCACATCATATGAATGCCCGACTGTGCACAGAAAGAGTGGCTGTTCATATATCAAGGGAATGTTTGACTGTACATGAGTCTTGTTCCAGAACCTAAGTGTTGCATGCACATGCATTTTACAGATCTTGCTTATTTGTATGCAGACTGCTGGGTCCTTGCCTCTAAGGCGGATTCACTCAGACTCTGATAGGACTCGCGTGACTCTGATAGAAGTTGACTCTCATGACATACTTGTTGGAAGACCGTGGGTCCATTCTTCTTTCTCATAATAAGGCCCTGGAACCCACATAGGGAGGATGTATACTAACCTAGGAAAGGGTCATGCTTTTTGGACTCCATCCTGCATATAAGACAGCTGACCTCGCTCTGCAGAAGCCCACCAAATATAGCAGTGACTATTGTGCTTTTGCCTTTGGGGCCTATGTATGGAGAGTTGTTGTTTGGGTAGGGCAGCAGCTCCAACAGTTCGATATGCAGCCTGTCCAGCAGGTACCTCATAAACTCATGGGCATCTTGTTGCTGGTAGCCTCTGAAAGACAGAACAATCAAAGGTAATTCTAAAGCTTTATGTTACCATAGATGCATGACATTGGTAGTCGCTTAAAGGTAGAGCATAAAGATACAGATGTAGCACATCAGTATTCTGTGAAACAGGGCTATTCAACTAGCAGCAGCCCAAGGGTCAAATATGGCCTGGGGAGACCTAGCAAGTGGCCTGGGGATCACTGCCATCTGTATTGTATTAATGATCTTTCTATTCTGCAGCTTGCACCTCTGGCCCGTGACAAACCCCATTTTCAAAATGTTGGCCTCTTAGTAAAGTTTAATAGCCCTGACATAGAATGTATGACACTGGTAGCCTCTAAAACAGAGCTATTCAACTGGCGGCCCACAGAGGCCTGGCAAGTAGCCCGCTGGTCATTGGAAAATGTATTGTTTTAATGATCTTTCTATGCTGGTGATTGGGCTTTTGGCCCGTAACGATCCCCTTTTAGAAAAGTATGGCCCCTGAATATAAAGAGTTGAATAGCGCTGCTCTCAAAGGTAGACCATAAGGTAATCCCAAAGTGTATATTACCACAGATGTATGACACAGAACCTTATATAAATGCCATTGTATTGTGAAGTTGGGTGACCAGTTCTCTTACTTTGACTTTCCTGACTCAAGAAACAACTGGTAAACGATCTCCTCCACTTTTGACCAAGCCCATTCCCACTAAAAGCTTGTAAGTTAAACTGATTGTAAGCTTAATTGACATTTTTTAACAGGTTTCATTCAAACAGGTTATACATTTTTTTAACCTTTGTATGTATAATTTTTTTTTACATAATATGAATATTACATATGTACTCTATTTGGAATTGTTGTTTAACCCTACTAATTTAGTTCTATTTCTTTATTTACAATTATTTTTATTTATTTATTTTATGATTGTTAAGTGCAGATGGTCATTAAGTCGCACTGGCTGTAGGTCGAGGAGAAGTTGTACTTGTATTTACATAGATCAACTTAACAACACAGTGTTATGGCAGGTTATACTGTTACAAAAATGTCACTAAATTTTTAACAATATGTAACCCCATCTTCTTCTCCTCCTGTGTTCTGTCTGTGAAAAGAAATATTTTTGAAACAAGCATTTCGTACCTAATATGCCTCTTCACCTTTATGCACATTGATATATAACTGTATAGCCTATAACAGGGCTATTCAACTTGTGGTCCGTGGAGGCCTCGCAAGTGGCCCGCAGATGACTGCCAGATGTATTGAATTACTGATTTGTTTCTATGCTGGGGATCGGACTTCTGACCCATGAAAATCCCCAATTTTGAAACTGATATCAACACAAACCTGAACCGTGGCACAACCTTCCAGATAACACTGAAGAGAGACTCTGGAGATATGGCCCCTTTGGTTCCCTGCCACAAAGCCACCAATGTCTTCCTCAGTTCTTCCACTAATAATCTGTAAAAAATACAAGAACCTTTACATAACTATGTCATGGTGTATCAACAATTTGAAATGAACATTTGTGTACTGCTTTGAAATCAAAGTGTAACATAATAATTATTATATTTTTCTCTTCTATGTGGACACTGAAACTCAAATTTACTACTGTGAATAAGAGTGTTAATCAGAAATTTCAACTCAGGTGTGTTACTTTTAATTAATTTTTTTTAAACGATAAACTGGTTTTTTTGGCCAGTGTCATGGTGGCCTGTGAAGAGAAGAGATGTTTCCAGGGAATGAGGCAGAGGCCAACCTTCGCGACTGTGGATAGACGATACTGAAGATACACTGGCTATGAAAGCACATACAGCTGGAGAGAGACTTTTAGCCATGAAGAGAGTGACGTTCTGTAAAAGATCCCCTGTCTGATAATGGTAGATAATTGTTATGATGAAATTAAACTAAAGAATATTACATAACTGGGGTATGGTGGAAAAGTGACAACTTGCAAAGTTGGTAGACTTTAAAAAAAAAAAGCTTGAAATGGACAAATAGAAGAACTAAATGACACAATAGGGAAAAAGACATCAGGGAGCTTGGCGATCATGTAAAAGAGCAAACCTGGATCATCCATGACAAGACACAAGACAATATTCAAAACTGACTGACTGACGTTTTACCCCACCAGAGGTTGTAACAGGTGACTAATCAGGGGTGATTTCTCCAAAGTCAGAGTGCATCTACCTGAACGGCAAGGAGCAAACAATCTGTGTACAAATAAGCTAGATTTGTCAAATGGATGCACATAAAAAAAAAAAACTCACGTTTTGGATCAAGACTAAAGTCCAGAAGCAGACAACAACCAGAACTTTCTGTCAGAGTTTACAGCCAGTAAACGGTTAAAAAAAAAAAAAAAAAGGATTCCTCACTCACTGGGAAATGAAAGGCAGAAGTAGTAAATAAATAACATACACATCTTCCCCTGTGTCTCTTGTCTTTCTGGAGATGTGGATTTTTTTGGCTTTGAGCACTTTGTCCTCTAAAGATGGAAGTTGTTTGATATAGCCACAAAACTCTTGTATATTACTGAAATATAATATGAGGCAAGGTTAATTATAGCAGTACTGTGGCAACCAAATGATAAATGAAAAAAACACGCCTAGAAGGTCAGTTTTACAAGAACAAACTCATAAATAATCAAAAAATAAAAATGATTAAAAGAAGAGTGTCATGTTTTCCTTACTGTCAACGCTTTAACTGTTGCCTCTTTTCTCATTTTCTCATCGCATGCTTGAGTGATTATTTTCATGTTCTGCTACCTGCGCGAATGTTCGGGACTATAGAAACAGCAATATTTTTATATTCCTACACTCCTTGTAAGTGCTTTCTTTCTCTCTTTAGGAGAGGGGGAAGGGGGGGACCTGATGAGGCATGAATGGCAAGGGAAGTCACTCTCTTTCTGGCATTGACTATGAAAGCATATAGGGTCGAAGAGCTGGCTAGAGAAAGAGACTTTCAGGCGTGTTGCAAGAGAGCAATGTTCTGAATGATGATGATGATGACTGAGCTTGTAAAAGGGTTTTTCTAAGCAAGTTTACAAAGAGTTCAGTACATCTGGACTTCTCACACTTTACAGGCTCTTTCCTTCTGGTCACTGAACCAAAATCTGTTGACAGTAAAAAATCTAAAAGATGTGGAGGAAGGAAACATTAATAATGTGCCATCTTCACAACAGAGGTTGGCTGCAATGTATACATTACTAACTATGGAAATACTGTATGGCCCCAACCTCTTCCACATTGTGACTCTCGTTCTTTTGTCAAAACCACAGGAAGGACTTTTATATTATCCACCACCACGAGACCAAACCCTGGTAAATGATGACGATTGTATTGTAAAACTATTTCACTAACCCCTAAGCGGCAAACAATAATAGCTTTAACATAATCCCCACCAGACCACATGTGTTGTACTAAATCATAACCTCACTACATTCTAATATGTCTGTCTACCAGACCACATGTGCTGTGCCTAGCCATAACCAGGCTACATTTCTAATGTCTACCAGACCACATGTGCTGTGCCTAGCCATAGCCAGGCTACATTTCTAATGTCTACCAGACCATATGTGCTGTACCTAGCCATAACCAGGCTACATTTCTCATGTCTACCAGACCATATGTGCTGTGCCTAGCCATAACCAGGCTACATTTCTAATGTCTACCAGACCATATGTGCTGTGCCTAGCCCATAACCAGGCTACATTTCTAATGTCTACCAGACCACATGTGCTGTGCCTAGCCATAACCAGGCTACATTTCTAATGTCTACCAGACCACATGTGCTGTGCCTAGCCATAACCAGGCTACATTTCTAATGTCTACCAGACCACATGTGCTGTGCCTAGCCATAACCAGGCTACATTTCTAATGTCTACCAGACCACATGTGCTGTGCCTAGCCATAACCAGGCTACATTTCTAATGTCTACCAGACCACATGTGCTGTGGCCTAGCCATAACCAGGCTACATTTCTAATGTCTACCAGACCACATGTGCTGTGCCTAGCCATAACCAGGCTACATTTCTAATGTCTACCAGACCATATGAGCTGTGCCTAGCCATAACCAGGCTACATTTCTAATGTCTACCAGACCATATGAGCTGTGCCTAGCCATAACCAGGCTACATTTCTAATGTCTACCAGACCATATGAGCTGTGCCTAGCCATAACCAGGCTACATTTCTAATGTCTACCAGACCACATGTGCTGTGCCTAGCCATAACCAGGCTACATTTCTAATGTCTACCAGACCATATGAGCTGTGCCTAGCCATAACCAGGCTACATTTCTAATGTCTACCAGACCATATGAGCTGTGCCTAGCCATAACCAGGCTACATTTCTAATGTCTACCAGACCACATGTGCTGTGCCTAGCCATAACCAGGCTACATTTCTAATGTCTACCAGACCACATGTGCTGTGCCTAGCCATAACCAGGCTACATTTCTAATGTCTACCAGACCACATGTGCTGTGCCTAGCCATAACCAGGCTACATTTCTAATGTCTACCAGACCACATGTGCTGTGCCTAGCCATAACCAGGCTACATTTCTAATGTCTACCAGACCACATGTGCTGTGCCTAGCCATAACCAGGCTACATTTCTAATGTCTACCCGACCATATGTGCTGTATCAAATCATAACAGGCTTCTAGACCACTTGTGCTGTGCCTAATAACGTGACTACATTCTAATATGTCTACCAGTTTTGCATGCACATCCCTTTTGCAGATCTGGTTGTTTGTCCACTTCTAAACTTTGGTCATGTTCCAGAAGTTAAGTTTTGCGTGCACATCCGTTCTGCAGATCTGGCTTATTTATACACATACTGTTAGTTTCTCATCCCTCAGGCAGATGCACTCCAAAAACATTTAAAAAAAAACAAAAAAAAAATTCCTAATTACTCAACATGCTTGTTCAGGAGGCAGTATGTCTATTATTTTTCTACCTCCTAAACGGAGCCCCAGAACACACACAGGAAGTACTTGCATGGAAAATTCGTTAACAAAACATTCAAGATTGTACAAAGCAGTCGACTGAGCAAACTAAATACCTCAAAGATTGTAAAACTGCATTCATAAAACAAGTGTTTCCTAGGTTACGTAATCCAGATGTTCTTGGCCTTCTATGTTTGTGATAATCCTGTGTTTAAAAAAAAAAAAAGATTCACATAAAGTTTTACATACACACAAGATTGATGACAAACTGCATTCACATTAAGTCTATAAGAATCAAGATGATAAAATCCATGCTTCTTTCTGTAAATATGTAATTTATAACTTTGGATTAAGATGTACAAGGTTGAAACCAACACAAAGAACTGAGTATGAAGAAGAATAACACACACACACACACACAAAATACAGTAAATCATCACTTCTTCTTCTTCTTTTGTCATCTCACTGTTACCAGGTTGTAGCCCAGTGTCGTGGTTTTCTCGTCTCACTGTTACCAGGTTGTAGCCCAGTGTCGTGGTTTTCTCGTCTCACTGTTACCAGGTTGTAGCCCAGTGTCGTGGTTTTGTCGTCTCACTGTTACCAGGTTGTAGCTCAGTGTCGTGGTTTTGTCGTCTCACTGTTACCAGGTTGTAGCCCAGTGTCGTGGTTTTGTCATCTCACTGATACCAGGTTGTAGCCCAGTGTCGTGGTTTTGTCGTCTCACTGTTACCAGGTTGTAGCCCAGTGTCGTGGTTTTCTCGTCTCACTGTTACCAGGTTGTAGCCCAGTGTCGTGGTTTTGTCGTCTCACTGTTACCAGGTTGTAGCTCAGTGTCGTGGTTTTGTCGTCTCACTGTTACCAGGTTGTAGCCCAGTGTCGTGGTTTTGTCGTCTCACTGATACCAGGTTGTAGCCCAGTGTCGTGGTTTTGTCGTCTCACTGTTACCAGGTTGTAGCCCAGTGTCGTGGTTTTGTCGTCTCACTGTTACCAGGTTGTAGCTCAGTGTCGTGGTTTTGTCGTCTCACTGTTACCAGGTTGTAGCCCAGTGTCGTGGTTTTGTCGTCTCACTGTTACCAGGTTGTAACCCAGTGTCGTGGTTTTCTGTATTTGTCTTGTGCTTTTTAGGTGGTTGAGTGATGGACTTGTTCAACTTTTTTTTGCAGGTTTCATTGACATTATTTATCCATATCTTTCTTGGTCTTCCTTTCGCTTTCCTCCCAGATGTTCTACTGTAAAAAGTCTCATTTGCAGTCTGGTCTGGCTGCATTCTCACTAGATGCTGAATCATTTCATTCATTGAAGTCAATATAATATAATCCAGACATTGTCTTATTCCAACTTTCTCGTCTAGTGTTGTTAGTGACCTTGCGCATTTCACATGTAGTTATTTTCTGTTCTAGTGCCCTATTCATTGTCCATGTCGGGCACTGATAACATAAAGTAGCCATAAAGATGCTATTAATCATCTGCTGTTTAGACATTTAGATGTCTAAGCAGTGGGGCTAACTGGCAGATGACAGCATTCTATTTCTCTTTTGAGTCGGCATCCTCTGTAAAGCCATCACTACAAAAAGTTATTGTTATATGTACTGATGGTGTAGCGGTTAGACACTTGCTTGCGGGTGTGAAGGTCTTGGGTTCAAATCCGAATGGTGGACTTTTCAAAAAATGACCTTGGTTCGCATGTCAACACGCCTAAAATGGGTACCAGGTAAAGCCCTAGGAAGTTGAGCTAAATATAACTGAGTGTGGAAATGCGTAGGCATGCCTACATCAATTGGCTTTGGTTATTTGACAAAATAAGATTCTATAGGGATGCTTTGGTTTTCTTACTATCCATTAAGTTGTCTATGAATAAAATAATTTAAAAGATGGTGGGCAGTTTATATTATTCTAATACTCAACTTCTTCTTCATGATACCTAGCTATAAACCCCGGTGGAAAGTTATGGTTGTTCGCCCACTTCTGGATTTTGGTCTTGTTCCAGAACTCGAGTTTTGTGCGCACATGTGACTTCAAATGAAACACCGCTAAATAGTCGCCTTTTTCCAGGAACAGTGCGTCCCAATATGGAAATTGTAACCCACACAGGGAAATTCATTATCTAATAAATCAACTATTAACAGTTTAAAAAAAAAAGTAAGCTGCATATCCTTTACAGGACATTGCAGAACCAGCTTAAGCTATTTTTTTGCTGTTTTGGTTTTTCTAGGCAAATTTACATCCAGTGGTTTGCCATTGCTTTCTGGACAGTCGGCTTCTCAATACCCCTGTCGAAACCAACGCAAACGCTCGCAGCTGAGATCGAACCCGGCACCCTGGCATTACAAAGCTCGTTAGCAACGCCTAAGCCACAGACGCTGACAGTTTTCAAGTATTAAAAAGTATACCCACAGCACCAAATCACTGTTTGATAACAGTAATTCCCATCAGTGTGTCACACATAAAACATTTGATAAATTCCCATCAATGCTGTCAGTAATAATTCCCATCAGTGTGTCACACATAAAACAGTATTCCCAAGTCAATGTGACATTCCCATCAATGTGTCACACATAAAACAGTTGATAACAGTAATTCCCATCAATGTGTCACACATAAAACATTTGATAACAGTAATTCCCATCAATGTGTCACACATAAAACACACTTTCTGACATTCAATGACAGTGACTTCTACATAAGATATATTTCTTTGTCTGAATGAACTGCAGCTTTTGTGTAGCTCATCCTGTTCTTATCTCTGGCACACAACTGCCATCTGATGTTAGAAAGTAATACCACTATAAACTGATTACTTCAGGAGCTGTGGCAGCATAGTGGCCAGATGCTTATCTGCTGACATGAAGGGTTTGGGTTTGAATCAAGTCAGATTTTTCTATCTCTTCAAAACTGACCTTAAATGGGTCCCAAGAAGTCAAGGCAACCAGCATGATGTTGACCACAACATTCACAGTGTCCATTGGTCTACAAAACAATTATGAGCCTAGCGTCATATGCCCTATGTGCCACTGGGAGACAAAGGGTGCTTTACTTTTGCTTGTTTACTTCAGCAGCCATTATTGGGCAGATGCCATCATCTTCAGAGATGGAAAAAAGCAAGATTTAAAAAAAATATATATTTGAAAAACATTCAAGTTACATACATTTTTCCTTTTTTTATGTTTTCTGTCATTTTCAAGGGAATCGGAAGAGAGCCGTCTCTCAAGTTTTCCCCGGGAGTCATTGTGATTGTGGTTGACACAGCTGAAACATAAACAACATAGAAATCACTGTTCATTTGTATATTATTTTGAATATACATTGCAATAATTACCATGTTTTTCAGTGTATAAGATGATATGTTCTAAATTTTTAAATTAAAAATTGTGGGTTGTCTAATGTATGGAATTGCCCCCAAATTTATAAATAAATATATGTAACATCACTATCCATATCCACCTTACCCTCCCCTTACTACTGGCATCATGACAAACGGTGTGGTTACTCCTCCTCCCCAGACCCCGTAACTACCCAGACACCCCCACCCCCCCTCCCAAATTCCCACTCACTCAGGCAGTTATGGCTTCATGATCAGAACTCATATCTTCCGGCACTTGTGGAATAAATATTGAAAATACTGGGGGGAAAGTTCAACACACAGGTGAAAGAGCTGAAGCTACACATTACACTGAGCTGACTCACCATGTGGGTTCTGCTGCCCTATTATAGGGAAAACAAGAATAGACCCACTGCCTACCCAAAAGCATGTCGTAAGAGTCGACTAATTGGGAGTTTCCTTCAAAGTCAGAGTGCATCTGCCTGAGAGGCAAAGAACCAACAGTCTGTATACAAATTAGATCTGTCAAACAAATACACACGCAACACTCAGGTTCTGGAACAGGACTGCAGTCCAGAAGTGGATGAACAACCAGAACTTTCCGTCAGAGTTTAGAGCTGGTGAACGTGAAGAGGAAGAAGACTGAGCTGACGGCAGTAGCCACTAATGTTCTAGCTGTTGATGAAAGTGGCACCTGTAGATATTAGACTTGCCGACTTATATGTATTAATGAATAATAAACTACAGTGGTTGCAATGGCTTGCTACACACAGATTAATACGAAACACAGGGGAATGTTCTTGCTGCACATGCCCGACAGTATTTACAACTTCAGTGTCACAATTATCAGACATGACTATTTATTATTGGTGTGTTGCTCATTCTCAAATTTTTTTCCCCTAGTTTTTAATATTTCTATTAATGACCTATTGACACCCTGTTAGGGTATGTTTTTAACCTTGATAATTTGGGACCATTATTCCGAATGCCTAAATTTTTATCCATGGGATGAAGCAGCAAAGTCACTAGCAACCTGCAAAGTGGGCCTCACCAGGTGAGTCCCTGTGAAGACTGCCAGTTAAGTCTGGTCATGTCTATCCAATGCCTCCTGTTATTCAATCAATCAATCAATGAGGTGCCGTCTCCACAGTGAAGGTTGGCTGCAGGGCATCTCCAACACTATGTCTCTCATCTTGGATGTGCACTCTCTCAGACTGTTGTTCATCCATCGAGACAGACTCATCTCCAACACTATGTCTCTCATCTTGGATGTGCACTCTCTCAGACTGTTGTTCATCCATCGAGACAGACTCATCTCCTACACTATGTCTCTCATCTTGGATGTGCACTCTCTCAGACTGTTGTTCATCCATCAAGACAGACTCATCTCCAACACTATGTCTCTCATCTTGGATGTGCACTCTCTCAGACTGTTGTTCATCCATCGAGACAGACTCATCTCCAACACTATGTCTCTCATCTTGGATGTGCACTCTCTCAGACTGTTGTTCATCCATCGAGACAGACTCATCTCCAACACTATGTCTCTCATCTTGGATGTGCACTCTCTCAGACTGTTGTTCATCCATCGAGACAGACTCATCTCCAACACTATGTCTCTCATCTTGGATGTGCACTCTCTCAGACTGTTGTTCATCCATCGAGACAGACTATTTCTGGTACCACTGGAACTGGAACTCTGGGCTTGCTGCTGCAGATGGGGAGGAAGACTTATGGGAGTGTCCTAAGTGCTGTGATGTCAATTCTTAATTCAACACTATCAGTTTCAGACACTAGTCACTTCAACACTTTCTTGAGTCCTAATGAATCTAAATAGTAGAAATATACAACAGGATAACCTTACCCTTTTGCTTCAAGAAGCCTAAATGTATTCACTTCTAGTTAAGCCATGTCCACATAAAAGCCAACATAACATGTCTGAAGTGTATTTTACTCGATATTCTCAATAAAATACAACTGCTGTGATATAGATGTGTCTGGAAGGGTCAAAAATAAGACAAGACCTATGTGCCCAATTTGTGACCCTTTGAAAATAAAGTCCATTTGTTTGTGACCTTTTCTCGAAAAACATATTTGAATTCCATTGGTCACTATGTGCTCCTGTGCTGTGTTTAATAGGCTATGATATGAATAACCAAAAAAATATAACCAAAAAAAAATAGCATTTATGGGGGTTTCCTAATGACTCCAATTGCCTTTCGAAAGCCAAACTGTCAAATATTCCAGTAGGCCTTAGTGATAGAGGTCAGAGGTGAATCACCCTATACATTTTGTTTGTTTTTGAGGCCCTGGAGAATGTATTTAATTTAATGCTTTATTCTGTTAGTGTTTACTGATTACCCCTTTACATATTTTTATATATTGGGGGGAGGGGGAGGGGGGGGGGGAGATTTAAATAAATTTTTTTAAACTTATTACTGACTTGTGTAATAATAATTTGTTTTTAAATAAAGGATTTGTTTGCAAGAATTTCCTAAGGGTTTACAACACATTATTTAGCCTCCATTGTGCATTAGATAACCACGGATCAACACACAGAAAGAACGGAATAGAAGCTAGGCAACATATACCATACAGAGTAATTTGTAAACACACAATGCGTTAACTGGAACTGAAAGAAACAGAAATATCATTGCATCTCATCTGTGATTTAATAAAAGAAGCCATACCTTTCCTGACTTGATGTGTCTGAGGGGCTTGCAATAGATTCATATGTTTTTCTTAATTTTTCTAAATGCCCGAAGCTTGTATCATTGACAACAAATTCATCACATTTGTAGCTGAAAAAAAAAAAAAAATAATAATGCTAGCAAAATCAAGTTACTAGTCATTCAAAAAAAGGAAACACACAGAAACAGAAAATCATTAGGTTAACCCTTTTACTCTGTACATGTGGAAATCTAGGCTTGTTTAAAAAAAAAAAATTTTTTAAAACGGCATGTTGACTGCCTTTTCCACCAGGACATCACACTGAGCGATAAACACACATTAACACAAAGTGCCACCGTTGGGATAAGGATCACCCATGGAGAGATCCCAGAAACCCTGTTCAACCGTTAAGTTATATTAGGACCCTCCAGGGTGGGGTCTCAAAATAATGAAAAATTCGTCCCACATGGGAACGGGGATTAATAACACAACACTAGCATGTGGTCTTTCGGCAGTGGTCTATATAATAACTTTGGTGCTGGTTGCAACTGCATATTGTGTAGACATGGTGGATACCATTATAATAAAAAAAAATAGAATTTATCAACAACAAAATTATTTTGGGTGAAAACAAATTGATCTGTTGTCATTGATATGTCATCCTGGCGTCATAAAAGACATGACATCAAATACTCAGACCTGGCTATGTTAACAAAAGCATACATTTCTTGGTCAAAGGGAGTGAAGGCAGTTTATGCTTTGCTCTGTTTGTTTTTAGTGATTGCATCCCTTAATAGATGGCGGGTTTTTGTTTAAATGTTCAAAAAATTATATTCTATTTTTAACAGCTAGCAAGCTTCCCTGTCTGGTTGGTGGTTATAGGTTTCAGTTCCCTGGATGTTTGTATCACCTGACCAAGACTCCAAACTTCTTAAAGTTCTTCTTTTCCTTTAGTTTCTTAGAGTAGTCTGATGACTAAAAGATGTTTTGTTGCTGTTGGTAGTTATTAAATGAACTAAAAAAAAATTGTTTTTAAGGATTCTTGCACAAATTCTGAGTTATCTCTAAACCTAACAGCTAGAAACACCAGCATTACATCTAAACAGATCTGATATAACAAGAAAGCTCCCTAGAAAAAGAAGGACTGAAACAATTTAAGATTTATATTCCACCCATTTATTGTCTTACTGTGCCATATTATGTCACATAGGGTTCGGTCTATTTCTCTATTCTATTCTATCCTGTGCAATGACAGAATCCAGCCCAGCACACCTTTAGTTTCTGTCAACATTCACCTTAGGGTGTCTCTTAGATTATCCTCGTTTCCGCAATCACTCTATTTCCCATTTCAGTGCTTGTTTGCTGATTTATTCGTCTCTTCTCTGAATGTGTCCAACATAGCAGCATCTTCTCTGTGTCATAGATTACACATACTCATGTGCAAAATCAAGCGCTCAGAGTCATCACAGGAGGGATGAAATCAACTCCCATATTAGAAATGGAGAAAGCTGGGAAAACACAGGCACTGAGAGAACACAGAAATACAAAGTTGCAAATACAAGCTGAAAAGTTCCTCAGTATGCCAGATCACCCAATGGAAAATAGATTTAAGAACCTAGCCTTGGGACGGTTAAAAAGAAGCAGCTTTATACACCAAGCAAAAAGAATATGTAGACAAACTCCTGACCTTCCAGAAATTGGCTGCCCACTTAAAAGTATTCCGGAACAAACCCCATGGAGAGAGAAATGTAAACTAACGGTACAAATCCAGACAAATGTGAAAGGGATATTTGACAAGAAAGAGCAAGATAGTGTACAACGCAAAATGGCCACCCTCAGTTATATTGATGAAGAATACCCACAAGAACAATGGGTCAGAGTCTATACAGATGGGTCCGCAGAAAGTGCAGTTAGAAATGGTGGTGCTGGAGTGTACATCGAATTCCAGATGGTACTAGGGATAAGTCCAGCGTACCAACCGGGAAGTACTGCCATAACTACGATGCAGAAACCCAGGATATTAAGATAGCTACAGAGAAACTGCTAAATACCAACCTTGGCTCACAGTATGTGGTAATGCTTACAGATGCTAAATCAGTACTTGAAGCACTCCTGTCTAGGAAAACTACCAGAATTTGCAAACACTGCTGACACAACTCAGCGTTCAGCGAAGAGTCGTAATGCAGTGGATACCGTCTCATTGTGGAGTGCCTGGAAATGAGAAAGCTGATCAACTGGCAGGGGAAGGTGCGAAAAA